CAGCATCGTGGTGTTGCCAGCAGAAGTTGGATGAATCCGAGAGAAAAAGCGAGTTAATCCGTATAACATTTAGCCCGATCAGATCGATAGTGTATTGAATGTGTTTGTGATTAGTAGCTCTATTGATTGCAGTGACATCACGTGAACATACCTGAGTGATGGTTATTTCGCCAGGCTGGTTGGAATTAGAATATATCTGCAGGAGTTAAATGACCTTTAGGATTTTTTTAAACTTTAGTTTAAATTCTGGAATTTTTTTTCGGGTGCCGTTATTTCAAATTGCGTTTGTTTTAATTAAATCACGTGACAAAGACGGGCGGAAACCTTTGAACGCGCTTTTCCTGTCTTGTTGCACGCCATAACGTAACCGAACTTTCTGAATGACAAGAGACACACAAGGAAATTTCAGGAAAGCGTGGACTATCAAAAGCTAAACTAAAAACAGCTCTAATACAAATAATCTTTTTTTTTCTTAAAAAATCAAATGCATTTTTAAACATTTCATCTCAGAGTCTGCTTTATATGTCTCAGTATAATTTATGATAAAACCATATGAAGACGCAGCTACCGTGCTGGTTATTGATTAGTCTTTGGGGGGCATATCAGGCCTGTTTTTGGCATCTGTTGTCCTAAATATTTTTAGAGGCGAAGCGGCCTGCTGTACGCTCCGTTTCTATACAAGTTTGTTTTCATGTCTATTGAAACCGAGAGCAGAGAAGAAACGTGCGTCCAATTCTTTCTGCCAATCGATCAGACTGCGGATAGATCAATATGGCACCAGGGCTATTGATCACTATGGTCCTCTATTGCTGGACGCTTTCAAATGCAAATGTACCTAAATAATAATCTATGGCAACACACTAATTCCTTAACAAACTGCAGGCAAACGCTTTACAAACACAGCTATTCAATGTGCAAGCCATTCTTTTTTTCAGCATTTAGGTCTTTTAAACTTGGCTGCAGAGCTCTGACTGTGAAACAAACTGTTAAACAGTGGGCTGCCGTTTAAAGATTTAACAGGACAAACATGGAACATTCAAAATGCAGGGTGACATTGATTTGGCCTGTAGCTTATTGAAACTTTACAGAAAATGTTTGAAGGCGAGGCTGTAAAAGTTAAAGGTCTGTAGAAAAAAGATCAGGTTTATAAAATTAGGACGAAAATCCAGCACTGAAAAAGCACCGCGTGCACAGCTGAGCGACACAATCGCTGAATAATTGGAATACATTTGGCGTTTTGCCGACCATGTGAAATTTTGATGTCGTATTTGTGACTGTTTAACAGTTATCTCTCTCTCTCTCTCTCTCTCACACACACACACACACACACACACACACTTACTTAAAGTAAAGCCACTGGCAAACAAGATACATGTGGTAAGTTTAGTCTCCAGGAAGGCCACACCGGCGCGCGCGCGTGTGTGTGTGTACTGGGATGAGTGCAGCAGAGCCCCGTCCCGCTGACTTGCTCAGAGGCCTGATCAATGCGACATTACTAAACACTGCTACTTAACTTTTGCCAATAGCCAGTTTCAAGTAAATATACTTTAGAATACATTAAGCGTGATGCATCAGCCACGGAGTCATTCAAGAAGTCATGAAAAGATTAGTCTGTCTTTATCGAGTGATTCCTGGGAAAATAGACAAGCTTACAGAAGCGCTGGGCCGATTCAAAAAACAAAAAGTCTTTGTGTTACAATTACATAAAATGAAATTTTGTCTTGGAAATTTTTTCATGTGTGGCTTTGTTTATAATAATAATAATAATAATAATAATAATAATAATAATAATAATAATAATAATAATAATAATAATAATAATAATAATAATAATTTTCGAAAGAGAATTTCACGCAGCGAAAAATAAATTGTGGTGTGCAGTCTGCAGTTTTCAGCACTCAGACACATGAGTAGCAGGGCTTAAACTGCTTCCTGTAATGAAAATGCCTGTTGACACAGGTCAAACACATCACTGGACAGACGTACCTTGAGCCTTTTTCGCAGGTTACAGTTTTTTGGCCACTATCGATCTTTCACAAATACATTGATCGAAGCTCCGGGTTGAGGGTTCACTATTGATTAGTTGATCAGCAGAGGACAGTAGTGCTTAAAGATAAAAACAAAACGCTTTGAGGCCTCATTACAGACTCCAGCGGTGACTTTACAAACTCACACATACTTTTAGAAATGTTTAACTTTTTAAAAATATAATTTGATGTTAATAACAAGGAAATCAAAACACACAAACATTGCTGCACAATCGTTGCGGTGTGTGTGTGTGTGTGTGTGTGTGTGTGTGTGTGTGTGTGTGTGTGTGTGTGTGTGTGTGTGTGTGTGTGTGTGTGTGTGTGTGTGTAAAGTCGATGCCAACGTGGTGCTGAGGCCACCGCCTCGCCCGCTATTATTAATATGAAATAAATCACCGGGTCTGCGCGGCATCGCCCCAGTCACACCGCAGGTATTGACACAGTTAATATTTCATATTGTATTTGCCATAGGATATGCTTATTTAGGTATTCGAAAAGAGTACATTAAAATACAAATTAAAACTAAGCTCTAGGCGGATGCATGGATTTTTGTGGGGGGTCGGGGGAATGGCTGTTTTTTTTTTCAATTCAAATTTTATTTTGGCTTTCTGTGAACGAGGTTTGATGAAGTAGCGCAAAACTAAAGAACTGTCTGGAATACGCGACGTGTCCTGATCACTTCACTTCCCCACGCCCTGCTGGAGTCGTAGGCCTCACCTGAGTAAAGATGACCCGCACATGTGGCCTAATAACAGACTCAGATTTGAAAGAAGACTGACAGACGAAGGGGGAGCTTTAGCTATTGAGTTTACAAGTTCTTGGTGAAAGCATAAAACTTTTCAGCGCGTTGTTTTGGGTTGTAAACCCTGGTGAATTAGGAGCAGGGAGCCAACAATGAAAGTTAACATCCATCACCACCGCGACCAATAAGCTGCTCTGGCCGGCTGGCTGAGCACAGATGACGGATTCGCTGCTGTGCGGGCTTCGGTAATTCATTTTCGATAGCAGTGGTTGCTGGGATCAATACAGGGACATTAACCCAAGCGGACACTGCTGTTCTCCTGATGGCACAAGCCAAAAGCCACCATCCCCCGTTGGCAATCAGCAAAGACACAGTTTTTAGGGTCATCCTTTGCAGGAGAGCTGTGTGCCAAGGCCACGGTGTTGTGATATCACAATTCATCGGTGAAGTAATGGATGGCCGTGACCTAACAGTTGGTAAACACTGCTCAGGGAAATTATTTTATGCAATTTGCAAATGATTAGTGATGCCACTTTCTGGAGTGTTAGACTATTTTTTCCCCAGCTTCGGGTCGAAATCCTAATGGGCTCATTTTACATAACATCGGTGTAAATGCCATGGCTCCTCACTTGATAACTGTGTTCACAGAGTGCAGCAACTAACGACTTACACGGGACTGCTGGTTACTGCACACACACACACACACACACACACACACACACACACACACACACACACACACACAGTTTACAGATTTCACAGAGGTGTTTATGTTGTGATTTTAGGAGATTAATGAGCAAATTTCATTCTATGTGTCCTCACACAACTGCATATATAGACTGCACACGGCAGTTTATTATATGCACCTATTTATCTATTTATTTATATAAAATAAATTAAATGTATTACTTATTCTTGTTTTATTTTATTTTTATTTATTTATTTCTTTTTTTTTACTGAACTTCACGTTGCCATAGACTCATTCGGTAAATTTTGGGCATTTAGTGACGTAACGGAAAATCACCACTGTAACAGGTCATCAAGTCAAAAACGCTGTGCGTGCTTTAACAAATTGATTATTGAATTATTAGTTATGTATGCGACAGATTTTACCTAGTGACAAGCAGCAGTACACAACGTAATAAATGTACTTGGTGCTTATAGTAGCTGAAAAAGTATTTAACGACCTCAGTGAAGTTTTATGCTCTCCACTACCTATTATTTCTCCCATTTCACACAATCCAATCACTCGATCTCAACAAGCTGCTATATGGTATCCATACTGCGGGCCTCTGCAATAGGCACCAACCTATCGATGGATCCCCTGATCCATACATACGCTGATATTGATAGATTGCTGAACTGGATTGACACCAGCGAGCACCAAGCAAGTTTTACGCAGAAGTTTTGAAGGGATATCATGTCGGAATTTGTGTGAGAGAATTTGATTTTCGTGGCCTGAATTCGTGGAGCAAAGAAGCGAAAGGGGTCAAAGCCTGGAGGCAATGATGAAATAAAGCTCGACAAATTTATTCAGAAACATTTGCTAGAGGAAAAAAAAAAAACCAAAACTTTTCTTTAAAAAAGTTATGAGTATAAGCAAAAATTTCAGATGTGTACTTTAGGAAAGTGGCTGTAAAGTAAGTGTCAAAGGTCAGACACGAGTCTTAAGGCTGTAATTCACACGTTTTATTGCACTGTTAAATATTTTATTGTCTATATAAACACAATCCTTTGAATATGTAGCACTAAATAGCGCATGCTTAATTTACAGTTGGAAAAACCAAGACTGTTAGGCATGACTTGCACTTCCACATGTGCTTTTTTACCTGCCCTCGTGATCTGTTGTGACATGCGTCATGTTTAACCTCCAACACAGCTATCACATGTGCTGCTGGCGCCTGTGAAACACTTTTATCAGACAAAACAAGGAGCGGGTCCTTCTTATCCATCTGAGTGTAAATGTTGCGCATTCTGTCTTTTATCTAACGCGTCTAACGCAATCTTTTCGAGGATTTGAGGGTCCACGCTTTACAACGCGAGCGAGCCCTGACACGGGGGCCAGTGACGTCAAATTGGCCCCAGACAGGGTTCGCGAGTGCGAGGATAGGCCACGGGGGCGCGCACTTGCGCACAGGCTCAGGCTCGGTCTCATTTTAACAGGAGCGCGGGCACGTCAATATACACACAGCGAGCCGAGCAGCGCTTTGGGTATAGTAGAAGGTGCTCAGCGGAGAGAAACCAGGCAGGCGCAGACACCTTCACGCACCGAGCAGCGGTTTGTTTGGCGGCCGGGACCCGATCCTTTAAAACCATGCTGGATTGACTGCGGAGAGGCAACTCCAATCAATGGCTTGGCTTTGAAATCGTTTCAAATTTATTGGAAAGGAGCGCGAGATAGAGCGACAGAGGGAGTGGGAGAGAGAGGGAGAGCGAGAGAGTGGCGCGAGGGGTGGAAATAAAGATCCTTTCAACGATGGAGCTGACAATGGAAAACATCGGAAATCTGCACGGTGTATCTCACTCCCATCAAACCAGCGACTTAATGAACTCCCCGCACGCGCGCCAGTCGTCGGCGTCGCATCGGAACTTGGTGTCGCACGGGCGGTCAGCCATGGTGTCCAGCATGGCCTCGATACTGGAGGGAGCGGGGGACTATCGCCCAGACCACGCTTTGTCTGGCCCCCTGCATCCGGCTATGACCATGTCGTGCGACTCCGGGATGAGCCTGAGCAGCACCTACACAACGCTGACGCCGCTACAGCACCTGCCCCCCATATCCACGGTCTCGGAGAAATTTCACCATCCACACCCGCATGCTCACCACCATCCAGCACACCAGAGACTTGCAGCTGGGAATGTCAGCGGCAGCTTCACCCTGATGAGAGACGACCGAAGCCTCGCCTCTATGAGTAACCTCTATGGCCACTACCCCAAAGATATGTCCGGGATGGGGCAGCCCTTGTCACCCCTGTCCAACGGGCTCGGGTCTTTGCACAGCTCCCAGCAGACTCTCAGCGCCTACGGTCCCGGAGCTCACCTCTCCAACGACAAGATGCTCTCCTCGGGGGGGTTCGAGTCTCACGCAGCCATGCTGTCCAGGGGTGAAGAGCACTTGGCCCGCGGTCTTGGGGGTCACGGGGGCGGGCTAATGACATCCTTGAACGGTATACACCATCACAGCCATCCGCACTCTCAGGCAAACGGATCCATGCTCTCAGACCGAGACAGGCAGACGGTGGTGGGAGGCGGGCAAGGTGCTGGGTCAGGGCAGGTGGAAGAGATAAACACCAAGGAGGTGGCACAGCGAATAACAGCAGAGCTCAAGCGCTACAGCATCCCCCAGGCCATCTTTGCTCAGAGGATCTTGTGTCGGTCCCAGGGAACTCTGTCTGACCTGCTGCGGAATCCTAAACCTTGGAGTAAACTCAAGTCAGGCCGAGAGACGTTCAGGAGGATGTGGAAGTGGCTCCAGGAGCCCGAGTTCCAGCGGATGTCAGCGCTGAGGCTTGCAGGTGAGTGAGGAGACAGCCTGAGTGATGTGGAGGGATCAATTAGAAGTCAATGTGGCGAGACTGTCAATAGCAGCTCAAATAGACATTAGTAGAAGTTATTAGTCGATTGTATCGAGTAAAAGTTCATCATGACAGTTGAGGTGTTAAATGTTTAGAGAGATCTATATTTTGATTGATGCTACAATGCACAGTAATATAAACATACATTGTGTGATAAACAAAAGAGAAGCGCTGTCTGTCATAAACAGACAGACTCCAAACCAAACCGAGTCTGCTCAGACACTTTTGGCTTTACGCACGTTTACGCACGAGTACAGTATGCATGCGTGCATCCATCTTCCTCTGTCTCACTCTCCCCCCCCCTCTCTCTCTTTCTCTCTCTCTCTCTCTC